CTCTCCATTCTAAAGAAATGTTAACTCTGTCAGAAGCGCAGGCACTTGCCGATCGCTGTGTGATTACAGCAGTGCTTGACTGAGTGAGATACTAATACAAACACACACTCACACACACATACCTAAACACAAACACACACACACTAACCCACCCACACACCAATCTTGGCAGTGTAGAGTTGATGCTCAGAGTGATTAAAGTGGCGTGCTTCTGAGTGTGTCACCTGGGTGCTGCTGTATCTTAAATCAGGACAGTGGGGCTCAGATTGGGTATTGACTGGCCCGCAGAAGTCTCCATCCATCACGCTGAGAAACGATAGCACAGAGGCCGCCCTGATGTACCCATATACCACTGATGTTGCTCACTGGCTGGCTGAGGTGACGTAAGGTTAGGGTTATGGCATGAACCGTTATTTATACTGCATGGTAAGCAGACGGAGAGGCGCATCCCACAGGCAGATGTGGACCGACAGGCAGCGCGTCTTCCGTCAAGATATGGATAAACACACGTTCAGAAGCTAACACAAAGGCAGGTTCACCTGTGACAAACACAGACTGACAGACACATATGCTCAGATGTGTAGCACTTATTGTAAGAGAAAAGACTTCCTTTTCTGTCTCTGTCCTGTTGTCTTTCACTCTCAGTGATACTCACACACATGCACAGACAAGCACACATAACCACAGACGTATGACTCTGTTTTGAGGGCCTGAGCAGCATCTTTTGACTGTGTGCCTAATGATAATAAATGAGCCATCATGGGTGGGGAGGGAGGCACTAAGTCATCCCCTTCATCGACAGGAGGAAGACTGGGAGCCCCAAGGTCACCCCACTGTCAGCATCACTCTCCCTAACGACTCCTCTCGCTCTCTCACATACATGTGTGCATACACACGGACACACAGTGGGGTGCAAAGTGCACCATGGTATGTTCAAACTCATACACTGCTCGTGCACACGCATACACACAGACTCATGCGCACACCAGCTGGAAAAACCTGCTTCAAGATACTCCACTTCATTTATCATCTAGATATTTGTTTGGAGAAGTGTATCTGCCACTATGTGAAATAATTTCACACTTTCAAATGTAACTCAATCTTCTAATTCAGTATTTGTCAACATCTCCAAAGATACACTATATATATATATATATACATGCAAACCCGTATCACAGGTCACACATGTAGGAACTTCAACCTAGTAATAATCATCTTAGATTGTTTTCTTTGAAGAGTTTTTAGGGGCCTAAAACAACTGGTATTTCACAAGTTAAAAGCAAAGATTAGAGAAAGGTCAGATAGAGTGAACTGAAGATCCGCTGTAGAGAACAGAAATGGTCTTGTTTTGTTTATTAGATTTTTCCTCCGAGCCCTTCGGTTGTCAAAAGAAGAGAAAACTCGATAATTGGCAATGATTTTCTTGTAAACGTGATTTTAATACTTTAGCAGTCAACTATAGAACACGTTAAGGGAAGTATTTTCCAGTCCTCTGGTAGCGCCCCTGCACTTGTGCCCTTACCCTGCACAGTGTACAGAATATCACCAGCCTGCATTTCCCTTTAGCAAAGCAGCACCAGATCAGATCAGCTGAGGAAGACAAGCATTGCATAACTGAAACATCTCTCTATAAACCCCACTGACCCTCCTGATTTCCGGCCCTCTCCCTAATGAGCTGCCATGCACTGTCATCTCTCAGAGGCACAGATCAGAATTCAAATCCAAAGAGAGAGGGCCAAGTAAATTCCTCCAGCCAAGAGAGACACAAACTAGAGTCCAAACCAGTGAACGTTATTAATGCTGAACTAAAAATGTAAGTTTGTGGGAGAGAAGAGGCATCAGAAGACGCGTTGGAGAAAACAAAAGGTAGCGCTTTCAACTGTGGGAATTCTTCTCACACACACACGCACATATAGATTACACATGCACACATACATGCATGGGCACACACACTCACACACAGGTTGCAAGTTTAGACTAGAGCTGTAGAAAGCTAATTTGCACCACATTGAAATGCATCTCAATTAAAGAGAAACACATCGCGGTGCCAGGGGAGGAGAGAAGAGAGAGATGTGAGAGAACGGGAGGGAGGAACGGGGTGTGAAACAGATAGTGTGTGAGAGTATGGGAGTAACAGAAAGGGGGGGGGG